TGCTGGAACGAATTAATTTCGTAAGTAGAGGTACCACTGTATAGTGTTATGGTGTTTCATCATTGTGAGGGTTTAAACATACCAATATGGGATTCTCATGGGGAAAAAGTGTGATCAGAGTTCCACACCCAAAAGACTACTGTTTTGAACTGCAAAATCTAGCCATTAATAGATTATTTGCAACAGACAAAAATACAGATTTGCCATGATGGTATGACACCAGAACACATATGGCATCATGCAGTACAGCATGCTTGCTGCCAATGCTATTGTGCTGCCATGCCGGCATACTGTTGTAATGCGATAAAGCTTGAAATTGTTATTTGGATTCCAAGTGTGCATTATCAATGTTTTATGACCTCCTCCTTTAAAAATAATTCTTGTTAGTGTCATGTAGGTGTAAGTTCCCTTAGGCATGCAATTCAACATTTTTTGTTCATGGCATAACATCTATATTCAGCTGAAGGCTGCAGAAGTAGAGTTAAACATATGATACTGTTACGCATATTGTTCACTAAGCACTGCAATGATGTATTTAACATTTGTTTTCACATTCAGTTGCACAGTGCTGCAATTCACTCATGCACAATCATCATATAATTCCATCTCCTTGATGTATTATCTTGGCCAAATTTTATCATTCAGATAATACAGTCATACAAAACACATATAACATCACATTTTAAAAACCCAATAACTACAACCTTGGACAGCATTGTTATTGTGTGTCTTCAACTTATGTGGTCTGTCATTTCCAACTTATGGTGACCCTCAGGTAAACCTGTCATGGGGTCTCTTGGCAACATTTGTTAAGAGGGTTTTTTTCATATGTGTTCATTTGCCTTTTTCTGAGGTTGAGTGTGTGTAACTTGCCGTAGGTCATCCAGTGGGTTTCCATGGCTGAGTGGTTATGCAATGTTCAAACCATTATACCCCACTGCCTCTTTGGACAGTTTACCTAGCTTCAAAATTATTTTTTTAAAGGCAATTACTTAAATTATCCGTTGATTCAAAATTAAGAAGAGTCATAGAATCTCAGGCTGAATTCACACTAAAGAAATACTCCAGTTTGACACCACTTTAACTACCATGGTGCAATCCTATGGAGTTCTGGGATTTATAGTTAATTGTGGCACCAGAACTATCTGATAAAGAAGGCAAAATGTCTCAGAAAACTACAATCTGTAGAATTCTATTGCATTGAGCCAGGGGAGTTAAAGTGGTATCAAACTGGATTATTTCTGCAATGCAGATGCAGCCTCAAAATCTTAGAGATCATAAAGGCCATCACGTCCAACCCCCTGCTATGCAGAATTATGCAGTTTACACAAATAAAACACCCTAGTAAGATGCCCATCCAAACTCCACAGCTGGAGAATCTACCACCCTCACAGGAAAGTGAATCATTGCTTTTAGTGAGTTCTTTTGTCCCATTGGCAGCCTATAAGTAGGTAGAAATAAATAAATAAATAAATAAATAAATAAATATTTCTGGATGGTCTTCACCATGCAGTTGCTACAGTTAAGGGGTGGTCAACTATCCAATAACCCATGATCTGTGGATACAGAACTTGGAGCAGATGATCTAGGAAAGCCATCATAATGACATCTCAGCAGATATTCATTAAAGTAAGTTGAATACAAATTGTATAGGATTAGGGCACTTCCAATCCAATGACTGATTAAAATTCACCATTACAGATGTAAATTTTGTGCAATGTAATTGTTAGGAAAAAGGGCAAATTACATTTTGAAAATGAGAGTGAACAGTAAACCAAATTTGTCAAAAAGAAACTTTGACATGTGCAGAACTATTCCCCTTAACTTCAGTTTTTCTTCTTCTTGCTTGGCACATGTTTTATGGACTTCCCAGAGTTTTCCAATAGATGAACACCAAATTCGGACATAAGAAAGGCTTTTCCCCACATGTCAGTTCCATGGATGATTTGGACTTTCCAAAATGTAATTTGCAATTACACTTTCTTTTTCCAGTTAGTCAGTAAAGTTCAAATAATAGCAAGTCAGGAAAAAGATTATGCCCACCATTCTGGTCAGGAACATTCATTTCTTGCTGGGAAAGCTGCCATTTTGGTAAAAGGATTAACACGAAAATTGCATTCATTGCTGCCTAGGATGTGGGGCAATGCTCCACAATAAAAGGGTAGAACGAACCCTATTCATGTACTGTATGGGTGAACAAACTTTGATCCTTCAGTTGTTTTGGACTTTAATTCCCAAAATTCCAGAAAGTCATAGCCCATGTGGATTATGGGATAGCACATGCCTACATGTGATATGGTTTTTAAATAGCTTTAACTGTTTTTAAATTGCTTGGTTTAACATGATACATAATTTCATATAGTCTTTAAAGTTATTTTTGCTCTTTATTGTCCCACATTGATTTTTCTCATAGCCACCCTGAGATCCCCAGATATAGGACAAAATACAAGTATTTTAAAAGTAAAATAAAATAATATATTTATAGTGATGACATGGAACCCTTTCATACTGCCAGTTTTGAATCACATTCCACTTTAACTTCCATGGCAACATCCTGTGAAATCCTGGGGTTTGTAGTTTGGTGAGGTATTAAAGCTCTCTGGCTGAGAATTATATGTACTCCTCCCTAAACTGTAGTATAGAATCATGACTGTTAAAGTGGAAATAAGCTGCTACAATTGTGTAATGTGAAAGGCTACTTGAAGGGCCAACAGATGTAACCAGTGCAACCATGTTTCTTATTCACATATTTGTCTCATTCATATATCAAGCAAGTACAGTGTACTTTTTGCATCCAAAACTGGGATATGGGAGATGAATGCTCCCCACAACTTTATCCTCTATTGCTTTAAGAGCATTTCTTTTCCACCCTACTCATTTCCAGTATTGGAATTGGGTAGAAAGATTAGATAAGCAACAGGGCACAGGATAAGAACTTGAAGTAACTTCAGTTTCCCCCTCATCCACTGAGTCCTTTTGGCATGAAAAAGCAGACCCCTAACCTTCACACAAACTCTCAGCCTTAGAGGAAGGCAATGGCAACCCTCCCCTGAACAAATCTTGCCAAGAAACCTCTGTGATAGATTCACCTTAGATTTGCCATAAGTAGGAAGTGACTTGAAGGTATGCAGCAGCAGCAGCACCAGCAGCAACAACAAACCTTCTCACTTTATAGGCAGCCCACAACTAAACAAGGATGAGTGCTTCAATCACATCTAACTTGTCTGTCACTGTGTGAGCCCATTATTTTTTCCAAACTAAACACTCTTGCTTTAGCTCAAAAATTGTATTTACTTTCCTTGTTCTGAAATGAAGCACTTGGTTTCTTGGAAGTCTCCTCTTACTTAGCTCTCATGTTTATACTGATGACATACCTCCTGTCCTCTTCTTTCTTCACACCCACCCTAGGAGAATTCTCCATTCCTTATGAACAATGAGAATCTTGTTTCAAGGATGAGGTGCAAAACTGGATTTGGAAGGAAAACTTTCCTGATGTACTTTTAAGTTTTGGCTATGCTTTAATTCGGAGATGCAGAACAATATACTTTGGCTAGTGAGATGACAGTTTTCTCAGCATTAGTAGAAGGACAACAATCTCAGAATCTAAAACAGATTGTGTGTTCTCATGGATTAATCTGTTTGCCCTCCATATAATGGGGATCACCTTAGAAATGCATTTCTGAGCAATCAGATTCGCAAATTAAGCCCATTACTATTACTACTACTGTTATTATTCTGCCTCTCCCTATGGATTGAGATGGGAACAACAACAGATAGCATAATACATAGTGTTAATTAAAAGAACATATAAAACCAATACATATTAACATCAGTAACTTCTTGTTGTTGTTGTGTACCTTCCAGTTATTTCCAACTTATGGCAATCCTAAAGCAAAACATAATTGGATTTTATTGGCAAGATTTGTTCAGAGGTTTGCCATTCTCTTCCCCTGAAGCTGAGAGCATGTGATTTGCCCAAGGTCAGCCAGGGGTTCCATGACCAAGCAGGGAATCAACCCTGGTCCCCAGAGTTGTAGTCCAACATTCAAACCACTAAACCACATGGGCTGTACCTTTAAATACATAATTAAAACATATTCTGGACAGGCCTGCTGGATGAAACTGGTCTTTATTACTGTTTTAAATGTAGACACCATCTCTAGAAGGTGAATCTTTTCTGGCAAGTCATTTCACAATCTGAGGATGGCAGAAGAAAATGTCCTCTGGGTAATAGTCAGCCTAGTTTTGGCTGACTGAATTAGATATCCCCCAGAGGACCTGAGTGTACAGGATGGATTATATGGGAGGAGGTGATCCTGTAGGTTACCCTCCAATGACCAATCACAAAACAAAACATACTAAGTACAAAATATGTTGATAAGGAAAAATACATGCTATAACAAACAGATATCTTTCACTATTTGAGGGAGAACATTTTCCCCCAAAGCACTGGACATCAACTTGTTTGAAGATTGAAGAGGGCTTTCACTTCCACACAGTCCCAGTACTCTGTATGTCTACGTAGGAAGGGAGGATAGGCTTGAAACTCCCCATTTTTGCACACATGCACTGTGAAAGTATGTGCATGTACATACATGCCTGGGTATGGAGTTTCAGCTTCCAGATAACATGGGACTGAGACATTTCTGTTTTAAGGAAGAGGTTTCATCAAGTGACTTATGTTTTCTGGTCTTTCTTGAGGGTGCATTTCAAAACACAAGCTTGGAAATCACCCTGGTAAAAGAAAGCGCAAACTGTTATGGAGACTTGCTCCCTCTCCCTTTGGGATAGCAGCTATTTTCATAACAGCTGACCTTTGCAACATGCTGACTTCTTTGCCTATGCTTCTGCATTTTCCACTGGCCTCCAGAGCATCTGACCTAACTGTCAATAAGAAGCCTACAAACACAGGCAAGAATTTTGTTGTTCAACAGTTTCTGCTAACTGTGTTCCATACAGAGAGCTCCCTAGAGGCTTAACGTCCTGTTAAAGGAACTAAACCTTTATTACTGGAAAGCAAGTAAACAAATATAAATCATACCTTGGGCCAAAGCTAGACATCATGCAGTAAACGGGAATTTCCCAGTGTTGGGTTTTCTACCTAATATAATAACTGGACAGTAGAGAGAACATTTGTGTATAGGAGAGGGGTGTTGCTTGTTTTCCCTTGACTGCATATTTTGTTTGCAAAAATCTTCCATTTGACTTCTAGCTGGGACACCTTCCAGTCATCAAATGCAACATAGTTAGGAGAAAGTAGCTAGGGATAGCTTTACGAACAGTGTCAGACATCTACATTTTTCTGCTTGAAGAAAAGAACAAGATGGCAGCCTCCATGAAGCACAGGGAAGCCAACAGGAGTAGAATGTGAATCTGACTTCAACACTGGTGATGAGACAGCATCCTCCACTGCTCCTGAGGGTAACCAACT